CTCGGCCCGGCTGGCCTGGGGAACCTGGTGAGCGTGGTGTGATGGGGATGAGAAAGACCTGTCACAGAATTTGGTTAATTTGGAGGAGGGCCTGAGGAACCTCAAAAGGTTGGTTTGAGCATTAAATAAGGCCCCTCTCCAAGCACCTAACTCTGCCTGCCGCGTGGTAGGTGCCCTTTCTGTCCCTCCCCTGCTCCCCACAGACCCACGGGCTTGGCAGGAAGCTGAGATCTGCCCCAGCCCCCTGGCCAGGCAGGCACAAGCCAAGCTCTAGGGTGTGTGGCAGGCCCTTTGGGGAACTTTGTGAGCCTCAGAGGAGGAGGCTACAGGTGCCTCCGGCCATTTCTAGGACCTGGCCCATGAACGCTCACATTGCCAAATGGGCTGCTGGGGACTCTGTGTGACCTCAGGACCCCTGGCTTCACTGGTCTCTGCCACCCGACCCTGGCCAACCTCTGAGACCCATGGAGGAGCACCATCCCCTGGTTTGTGGGGGGGAGGTAATTAGGTTTATTTATTTTTGATGGAGGTACTGGGGATTGAACCCAGGACCTCGTGCATGCTAGGCACGTGCTCTGCCACTGAACTATCCCCACCCCTTCCTGCCTCCATCCCCTGTTAAAACTCATCAAGCAGGATGCAGGAGGGGAGAAATTGAGACAGTGTAAGGGGGCTTTCAGCGGGGCATCTGTGGATATTTATTGAGGATTTCACGTGTGTTTGCAATTTTTAAATATTCTTTTTTTGGACGTATGAGAGTGGTTTTAAACTGAAACTTTGAGATCATTGCAGACTTGCATGCAGTTGTAAGAAATAAAACAGCCCCTGCGTACCATTTACCCAGTTGTATGAGCACTCGTGTGTGTGCGTGGGTTAGGGCTATGCGCTTCTATCACGTATGTTGGTTTGTGTGGTTTGTGTTTCCAGCCCCCCAGCCAGGACACAGAACAGTTCCATCACCACGGGGACCCCTCCTGCCCGAGGCTCTGGGCCCACCTCAGTTTCTCCCTCTGACATTCTCCTCTAACCCCACGTGCAGAGCCCACAGCAAAGAAATCATGAAATAATGAAGCATCAGCTGCCCATCTTCCCCTCCCCACTCCCGGTCCAAAATAAAAACTATTCATTTCTCTCCTGAATGAGACCGTTAATCATGCAGCAGTTCTCCCTCTTACACAGCCTGGGCAGGGCCTGTGTGCACGTGTGCGTGTGTGTGTCTGTGTGCACGTGCGTGACTTCTTTGCTGCTTTCTCTAGCAGACACTGTGCCTGCAAGGTGGCCTTACCATGTAATGACCAAGGGCTCTTAGGGAGAGAGGGTGGGGCTGCTGAGAGACTGGGCAGGAGGTGGGCAGTGCCGGCAACATCAGAGCCCTGGGAATTCTCCAGCTGGCCTGGGGGCTCCTGGTGTGAATCCTGGGAAGGCAAGACCCTGGGTGGAGTTAAGGATGGCCTTGGGACTGGCCTGAGGATGATCTGGAGGGCCCCTCTGTGAGCTGAGCAAGGGCTCAGGGTGGCTCTGCCTGTTCCTGCCGCAGGAGGTGATGAAGGCGTCAGATGGCAGTCTCCTGGGCGACCCAGGGCGCACACCGCTGAGCAAGAAGGAGGGCGTCAAGTGGCAGCGGCCGAGGCTCACCCGCCAGGCCCTGATGCGGTGCTGCCTGGTCAAGTGGATCCTGTCCAGTGCAGCCCCGCAGGGCTCAGGTAGGGGCTGAGCTGGCTGGGAAGAGGGTGGGGATCTGTTCTGAGCTCCAAGGACTCAGAGACCACCAGGGGACCCCAGCCTGGGCCACACCACCTCCGTCTCTGCTGGGAGAAGTGTCTATTCATTCACACCTGTCCCCATCCATTGGTGCCTGCTCCGTGAAGGGCACTGAGCTCAAGGCGGGAGGTGGGGACAGAAGACTAGGACCTCCCTGGAGTCTTCCCAGCTGGGAGGATGGAGCTGGGCTTCAGAGCCTCGCCGGCTGGGGAAGCTTGAGTGGCACACTCGTCCTTTCTAAGTCCTCTGTGAAAAGAGGGGCTGATACCAACCTGTGAGCAATCACGCATGAGGGGCCTGGTGAGGAGAAAGTCCTGGCTTCTGCCCCTCCTCAGTCCTGCCCAGGGCGCCCCAGGGGCTGATGTTGGCTCTTTACCTCAGGCTCTGTCCCGGGAGCTCGTCAGGGAACTGGCAGGAACCGCTGTCTGCACTTGCTGTCGGGGGTATTCGGTGCTTGTGATGGAGCAGGAGACGCAGAGGGGACCTTGTGTAAGCTCTGTACTCTCACACACGTGCACCCGTGCACCTGTGCACCTCACACCCGTGCACGCCCACCAATCACGTGTGGGTGTACACACTTCACACATGGGCGTGCACGCCACACGCTGGCCCACACACCACACGTGCTCCTGTGACCACACACACAGGCCTGCAGGAAGGTCTGCCTCTTAGACTTGAAGGAAAAGGTGCAGATTTGGCCCCTGACAGCTGCGTCTTGTTTGCTGTCTCAGACGCTTGCTGTGATTTCCAGGCAGCCTCAGTCCCCTCAGCTGGAGAATGGGGATATTCATGGCCCCGGCCTCCCAGGCTTGATTGGGGCGGGGCCAGCAGCCTGTGCATGCCGCCCCGCCCCTTACCTGCACCCCAACTCCAGGGCGTTCCCAGCCTGATCCCGGCCCCTGCCCAACTGTGCTGCTGTCACCCTTGTTGCTCGCCACCCCTCCCTTTCCCACAACGGCCCCCATGGAGGCGCTGGTACCTGTGAATGCCTCTGGGGTCCATGCGTGCTCCCCAGTTCTCCGGACAGGGCAGAAACATGAAGTCACCAAAAGTGCATGCATCAGCTTAACCGGGAAGCCCACATTGTCAGGGCGATGTTTCTCTGCAGCAGGGGAAAAGCAATTCAATTTTCCACTGGGGTAGAAACAGGGAGCAGGGGGTGCATGGCGCCCCCGTGTGGTGGGCTGTGTATGCCTGGTGGTCTAGTATCTGATCTGGTGACACAGCTCGAGGCTCAAATTCCTCCCCACCTGCATCTCCAGGATTTTCTTGGAAGCAGCACAGGCTTCCCCTTTCCTCCTGTGGCTCTTGTAGCCCCTCAGCTTCCCCAGTGCCTATCTCTCCTTCCCTGGTCCTCTCCTCCCAGCATCCCCTATCCCCACCCTCAGGCCTCTTTCCTGCTGAGCTCCGTCTCCAGCTTCCAACTTCTAGGAGAAACATCTGGCAACAGTGGTGCTTCAGGACGGCTGGGTGTGGTGGGTCACCCCTCGCTGAGGCCTTTTGCACAGCTGAGCGTGGAGGAGAGCAAGCCAGGGGCAGGCTTGGTGTGGTCAGGGTCACGAAGAGAGGGGGCCGAGGGGACCTGCCCCAGGCCCCACCATTAGTTTAGATGAGTTCCTAGATGGGAGGGTCTTTTCCCTTCAGCTCCTTCTCGAGCCGTCTGGAAGCCTTTGCTGAATGGCTGGTCCAGCCCTGTGTCGGTGCAGCTGGGGAAGGGGTGCAGGGCCCAGGACACCATCACCAGCTTTGCCCAGCCCTGCCTGTCCCCTGGTGACACGTTTACCAGGCACCTGCCAGGCCCCGAGGGGACATGTGGGGCAAGGAAAACGAGATCCTCAGTTGTACGAGGCAGGCATGGAGGGTCACTCTGTTTCACTAAAACTAAAGAGGAGACTGACGCACGGGAGGTCACACAAGTCAGCGGGTCACACGGGCCAGGGGCCCAGCAAGGGCACTAACCTGGAGCGCCCTCCATGCGCTGCGGGCAGGGCGCCCACCCTCATGTGTGTCCTCCCAGTCTTTTCTCTCGGGAGCTGCGGGAAAGGGGAGCATCGGGGTCTGCGGAGGCAACAGCCACCCTTCCCGGCTGAGGAGCCGGGACCCCAGCACACCCCTGTCTTTGAGACTGGGCATCGCTCCAGGGCCTCGGCTCCACAGCCCAAACATGTCCCATGCGTGTCCCTTGAGGACCCACTGCTGGCGTGGTCACACCGAGGGCTCCGTGTGCTCGTGAAACGCTCAGCTATGCACAGACAAGGTGCCTCTGCTCCTTCAGGACACCCCCCACCCCCACCCCCGGCTCTGGGTGCAGAGAACAATTGTGCCATTCAGTGTAGCTGTCCCCACACTGGCCAGGCCCAGCTGGGTGTCCTGGGCGGGCGCCTGTGGAAGGCGGGCAGGTGGCCCTGGACACTGTGCCCTTGTTGTCAGGGCTTTTCCATTCAGCAGAAGTGGCCAGAGACAGATTTCTGGGACATCCTGGAACGGAAGCCAAGGCCCAGGCCCAGAGAAACGCATAGTGTCCCTGAGCTTTGGCAAGGAGCGGGTGGGAGTCAGGGGCTGGTATGCACCAGACGGGCCAGGCCAGCTATGGCTGTGCCCCGACGGTCACTCCTGGGCTGTGAAGTCCCCAGCATGGAGTTGGGAGCCAGTCAGCAGTGGTGGCCTCTAAGATGGGTGGGCCCAGGACCAGGCAGCACAGAGCAGGTGTCGTGGCTCCCCCAACCCAGGAGGAGTGTCCATCCACCACTGAGGTGTGTGTCCTTCCCCAGCACTGGGAGACCATCCTCAGTGCCCCAGAGGCTGGACTCTGAGCTGCTCTGCTTGTCTCCCCAGCATCTAAAAGTCCTTCCTGGCAGGACGCCGGGCCATCTCTCTAGGGGCACAGCTGAGCCACCAACCAGACAGAGCTGCTTCTCAAGTCTGGCTCCCACGAGGACTGTAGGATTGAGTGCCTTTAACTGTAAAACTGGAATAATAATATCACGCACAGAATAACCTGGAATCTTGGTGAAAGACAGCTGAATCCAGGCTGGTTTAAGCAGAGAGGCATTTACTCTAGGCTCTTGGGAAGTTCACAGAAACTTTAGAGGACCAGAGAAGGAGACGGTGCTGGAACCAGTGTGCAGTAGGCTTTTCCACTCCTCTGTAAGGCCAGCTGCTTCTGGGCATGGAAATAGGGTGAGGCCAGTGGGTCTTGTAAGCACTGGCCTTTGGCCACAATTCTTCGTTGTAAAGTGAGACTTTGGTCAGTAGTAATGATCTGCAGGACACTGTGATGGGTGATGTTGGCAAAAGCAAGATGAGCAGGAAGGAAGTTTCATATTCAAATACATGTCAATTTCACAAAGAATGAATGGACGGAGGGGAAACAGTGTCACTGACCTGCCACCTAGTGGCCGGCTTGTCATCCTGCCGGCTGGCTGGGAACTTGACAACAGCTGTAGCCAAATCAGCCCCGTGAGGGAACTTCTTTTATTGAATCCCTGAGTAAGCCTAGTCCATCCCGGCCCTTTGTTCATGGGCAGTGCTGAGCGTCTAGGAACACAGACTAACTGATGTGCACAGACAGGCCATCTTGTCCACCAGACTCTCAGCACCTCCTCAGCCCAATTGCCCTTTGGAGAACATCTCCACCTTTGGAGAAATTTTCACGCCTCCCAATGGCCGCTCCTCCAGTCTTCCCTCCAGCTCCCTGCCCCCTGCACACGTGGTGAGTAACCACCCCTGAGTAATGTAAATCTACTTCAAGTCACCTCTCCTTCCAGGCGACTTGGGCAAGAAGATACACTCAATATTCTGCCCACCAGGAAGATTTCCTTTCTCCACCGCCCTTCCCACTGAGTGGACCGCCGTGTCCATTAGACGTGTTGGTGCCAGCATTTCCTGCAGCCTGTCTATAAATTACACATGCATGCTTTTCCTCTTCAAGTGGTCTTAGGAGCTCTCCACGGAGCCACAGGTGTGAGTTGAGGGCAAGGTGACAATGCAGCTGTTACCATGGGGGTCTGAGCCCCAGGCATAAGCATACACCTCCCAGAGCTCTCTGGACCCCCAACTCTAAAATCACACACAGCACCTGCATGTGATGCTGGAGTGCTGTGCACGCATGCGCCGTTAGAGCTAGGGGAGAGGTTGACACTCGGTTCCTGATGGGCAGCTCAGGTCTCAGGACCACCTGGCGTCCCCCAGTCAGGCGTTCCATCTCCCTGGGAGCCCAGTAGTGAGCCACTAGCTGTATGCTGGAAGAAGAAGAGATTTTTGCCAAAGAAAACATGGCTTCGCTCGAAACCAGAGGCTCCCATTGGGGCCTGCCCTGGGCCCTGCAGAGCCTCCTAACTTGCCTTAGACACACTGTGCGCCATGGAGTGTGCTGGGTCAGCAGGCCCAATGGGCAGAGCTGCTTGTTCACGGCCTGGGCCTGCTGCACGGCCTTTGCCTGTGCTCGGGGACAGTCTGGAGCTGCACACTTCCCTGTCTGGTGGCCAGGCCTGCACAAGAAGGCCCATCGAACCCTGCACTTGCTTTCATGGCTGGGAGTGCAGAGGCAACAGTTTGCCTTTCACTCTGGAGGGGATATTTTAACTTGGCCGGCCTTGCTTGTAACAGAAACCCCAAACAACAGGGACTTGATTTAAACAGAAGTATGTTATCTCCCATATGAGAAATCTGGGCTAGGCAGTGGCTGGCACTGGGTTAGCAGCTTCGGGATATCTAAGTCAAGGTCTTTGGGGTTTTGGTGCTTTCCCTCACAGTTGCAAGGTAGTTGCTTTGGCTCCAGCCATCACGGCTTTGTTCCAGGCAAGAGGAAAGAGGAATCGAGTGAAAGGAGGAAGTTATAGTGCCTGTGTCAGGAAAGCAACTGTCACAGAAATCTCTGGAAGATGTATGCCTACATTTCACTGGCCAGAACTGAGTCACTCTGACTGCAAGGAAGATGGGG